TCCCCTTTCTTTTGCCAACCTCCTGCTTTTCCAAGTGTGACACCCTTCTCTAGAGACTGGCCCCTCCTGATAACATGTCCAAAGTATGTGAGACAAAGTCTCATCACCCTTGCTTCTAAAGAGCACTCTATCTGCACTTCTTCCAAGAGACTTTTGTTTGTTCTTTTGGCAGTCCATGGGCATTCCTTCTGCTATCTTCCTTATTCATTGTCCAACTTTGGTATGCATATGAGGTAACTGGAAATACCATGGTCTTTTGTCAGGTGTGCCTGGTAGCTTGCTGTGTTATGTGTTGGACTGCTAACCTAAAGGTCTGCAGTTCAAATTCACCAGCCATTTCATAAGAGAAAGATGGGCAGTCTCTTCCCGTCAAGATTTACAGCCTCAAGAACTCGGTGGAGGCTAGTCATGAGTCTATTGAATAAATTGCATGGTGGTGGGTTTCTGTTGTTGTCAGGTGCTAGCAATTTGATTCTGACCCATAGAGACCCTTTGTATAATACAATGAAACACTGTCCTGCCTTTTCTTGCCCTGTCCTCACAGTCATTGCTATATTAGAACCCACTGTTTCAGCTACTGTGTCAGTCCATCTCATTGAGGGGTTTCCTTTTCTTCATTGACCTCCTCCTTGACCAAGCATAAAGTCCTCCTCCAAGGACTGGGCCCTCCTAATACCATATCCAAGTATGTAAGACAAATTCTCACCATTCTTACCTCTAAGGAACATTCTGTCTATAATTCCTCTTCTAGACAGATTTGCTGGTTCTTCTGTCAGTCTACAGTACTTTCAATATTTTCACCATAATATAATTAATAATAATTTTTACCATAATATAATTAATAATTCAAATATATGAGCTTTTCTTTAGTCTTCCTTATTTTTTTTTTTTGGTCCAGCTTTCATATACATATGTTGTTGTTGAGTAAAATCGAGTTTAAACTGACCCATAACTGACTCTCTAGCGGATTTACAGAGGCAGTAAATCATCTCTGGGAGATTGCCCGTCTTCTTACCACAGAACAGCTGGTGGATTAGAACTGTGTACCTTTGAGTTAGCAACACAATTCCTTACCACTAAGTCACCAGAGCTCCCTATGAAGTGACTTACAATACCATGGTTTAGGTCAGGCACACCTTGGTCCTCAAAGTGACATCTTTGCTTTTTAATATTTTTAAAAAATTATTTTATATTGATTTACATAAAAAAGTGATATACATGTGTTTCATTTATATACACGTGTTTCATATGTTCCTCCAGTCACATTTTCTATACAATTGTGTTTTATAAAATTAATCACCATTTTTCCATGCCCATTATTTTTTTAAAACTTTTATTTTATTTCATTATTTTTTGTGTGTACCATCAAATCAGATCTGACTGATACAGGAGGAGATTGTTCCTCCTTCTCCAGCAGAGCATCTGGTGGATTCGAACCATGTACCTCTGAGATTGCAGTGCAGCTTCTTGCCACTAGGCCACCAGAGCTCGCCCCATGCCCATTATTATGCCATCTTTTCAGATCAAAAGATAAAAACTCAAAGACTACAGGGTTCAGTATGGATTGCATCTCAACATAAAGGGGAAAAAAATCCTCATAACTGGACCAAAAAGCAACATCTTGATAAATGGAGAAAAGATTGAAGTTTTCAGGGATTTCATTTTGTCTATGGAAGCAGCAGTCAAGAAATCAAATGATGTAACACATTGGGCAAGTCTGCTGTGAAAGATCTCTTTGTACTGTCTAGATTACATTTACTGTGGACTCCTACTAAAGACTGCACTTGAAGAACCGAAGTAGTCAGTGACCATAATGACGTTTTCTTTGATAATTGGGAAGTTTATGTGGCCTTAGGGCCATCATTCAAAGCATGAGTTTCCTTTGTCCAAGAGTTGGGAGGAATAAGGGGAAATAGATTGGGTTGAATGTGGTTTGACCCCATTGTATCTCTTGGGAATTGTTTCTTTGCATATGTTAGAGATAACTGCTTTTTCTTCCTCAAAATTTGGCCTTTCTCCCCAAAACTGATGAAGAAGAAAAACCCAGTGAGCTAAGTCGTTTTTATATAACAATAAAATTAACTTTAAAAAATAAATTGCAAGCAACAAATTCTGGCGAGGTTGTGGAGAAACTGAAACCCTTATTCACTGTTGGTGGAAGTGTAAAATGGTGCAACCACTGTGGAAAGTGGTGTGGCGCTTTCTCAAAAAGTTGCAAATAGAGATACCATTTGACCCAGCAATTCTACTACTGGGAATATACCCTAAAGAGACGATAACCACCATCCAAGCAGATATCTGCACACCCATGTTTATTGCGGCTTTGTTCACAATAGCAAGGAGTTGGGAGCAACCCAGGTGCCCATCAACAAACGAATGGCTAGAGAAGCTGTGGTATATTCACACAATGGAATACTATGCTGCATTGGAAAAACAAGGAACTCATGCAATATTATTCAAAATGCGTGACCCTGGAGGACATTATGCTGAGTGAAATATCTCAGTCACAAAAGGACAAATACTGTATGGTGCCACTGTTGTAGAATGGGACTGACATCTGGGTTGGGGTAAGACTGAGAAAAACTGGATAAATAATGTATACTGCATTGAAACAGATGAGGGAGAGAACAATTTAAAAGCAATATATGATATGGTATTATGGTTATCACGAGAGTCCACAATTAAGTTTGCATAGTGGAGTGTACTCGGGGTGGTGGGAGGGGTGCAGGGGGATTGTATACCAAAGAAAGAATTTTCTTTTACTTTTCAAAGAGAGGAGCGAACTGGGGCAGGGGAGGGGAGGGCTGGGCAGGGAGAAAAGTGCAATGGTGAATGAATGGAAATCCAAAATCTCCGTAAATGTTCATTAAAATTAATTAAAAAAATAAATTGAGCTAAAACATTAAACTTTAATGCTTTCTCTTTTTTAAAAAAAAATAAAAAGCGATGCACAGACTCAAAACACTGTAACAGTGTAGAAGACAAATCAATCTAAAAGGCAGCCTTACTGCCCATAAAAGAATATTAATGTTCTGGTGCGAATACTTCTGTTCTTTATCTAATCATAGGTGTAATATTTTTTAAAAAATTTACACTATAGCATCTGAAAATTTGGTATCTTACTTCTCCCCTTTTTTGTGTTTTGTATTTCCTCTATTATTCATTCTTTGAAAGCATTTGTTTTATTTATTCATTGTTGCACATTTCCCCCCTCTCCTCCTCCTCCAGCTCACCCCTCAATGCACCCTTTGTTTCAGATTGTTCACATAATCATATTCCTTTCAAACAGCTCTTCTCCTCATCTATTCTAAAGGACTGTTCATTATCTAGCCATGCTTTCCCCATTTCCCTCTCCAAACCCGTCCATGTCTGTCTTATTTTATAACAGCAGCATTATGCAGTACTTATCCTTTTGTGACTGAGCTATTTCACTTAGGATAATATCCTTAAGGCTCCCCCATGTTGTGTAATGTTTTACGAGTTCATTTGTTTGTCAGTGCTGCACAGTATTTCATTGTGTGGCTATACCATAGTTTTCTATCCATTTGTTTATTGATGGGCACTTGGGTTGCTTCCATCTCTTTGCTGTGGTGAATAATGCCACAATAAACATGGGTGTACATACCTTTTTAAACATTTTTTAATGATGACATAATATTACTTTCTGTGGAGATATAGATAATTGTTGTTGTTGTTGTTGTGTATCCTCAAGTCATAGCTGACCCTCCAGTGAGTTTTCAGAGGCAGTAAATCGCACAGGAGGAGACTGACCATCTTTCTCCTGAGAAGCAGCTGGTGGACTAGGTTGGAAGTGGATTTACTTACCCATTAATCCACCAGAGTCACGCACCCCCACACACCCATCTGTATATGGGGGGCTCTGGTGGCTTAGTGGTAAGGAACTGAGCTACCAACAAGGTACCTGGTTTGAACCCACCAGCTGCTAAGGATGGGCAATCTCCTGTGTGATTTACTGCCTCTGAAAACCTGCTGGAGGGTGAGCTCCAGGTCAGTTCTGACTCGACGCACACAACAGCAATCTGTATATAGACATCTATGTAAATATCTAGTGAGCTCTGGTGGCCTAGTGGTAAGGAGTCGTGCTGCCACCCCAAAGGCAGTTCAAATCCACCAGCTGGTTCTCGGGAGCAAGACGGGCAGTCTCCTCTCACGTAATTCACAGTAGTCTCTGAACACCCGCCTAGAAGTCAGCTAGAAATCCCGGGGGGGCATAGAGTTGCACTGCTAACACAAAAGCAGAGAGACTCCAGTAGCTCATATCCACTCGCCACTTTTCCAGAGACAGATGGGCTGTCTCCTCCCATTTGCCATTTTCAGCCTTGGAAACCCATGGAAGGTTGGCATGAATCAGAACTGACATGACAGTAGTGAGTGGCCTTTCAGAGACCTATGTGACAGAGAAGGAACTACTAGGTATATTTGAACCACTAACCTGTTGGTTAACAACTGAGTACCAACATGGGTTGCTATGAGCCAGAGTCAACTCAGTGGCACCAGCCAACAACAACATAGCTATATACACAATAGCTGGTCCTATCCTAAGGAGAAGTTAGTTTGTCTCCTGAGTTTGGAAAGGATCAATAACGTGGAGATCTTTGTAGAGTTTTGACTATTTCTCTGCTACTTCATTTGTGGAGATTTCTGGAAGTGGATTTACAGGCGCCAGGAATTTTGGAGCGTTTTTCAGGTTCTTGCTAACCTTGCCAAGCTTAGTCTCCAGAAAGCTCAGCCAAGTAACATCCTAATTTTTCCAGCTGAAAAAAATCTTAAAGGAAAAAAAAAGCCACTAGGGTAAACCTTGAAGCAAACTTCTCCATCAACCTTGATAAGTGTGTGTTCTTTTTTTTCCAGTCTGTCAGAGACCTGCTTGCTGTATCACAACCACCCACCTCATTTTCATAATGTTCCAGAATAATTTTTCTCTTACCTGTACGTATCTCTTTTTCTGACTCCAACTGATGGGCTTTGCTGTCTTCCAGGTTCAGGTGTGGGACACGGCAGGCCAGGAACGCTTCCGAAAGAGCATGGTAGAACATTACTACCGCAATGTGCACGCCGTGGTCTTTGTCTATGACGTCACCAAGATGACATCCTTCACCAACCTCAAAATGTGGATCCAGGAGTGCAATGGGCACGCCGTGCCCCCACTAGTCCCAAAAGTGCTTGTGGGCAACAAGTGTGACTTGAGAGAACAGATCCAGGTCCCTTCCAACCTCGCCCTGAAATTTGCTGATGCCCACAACATGCTCTTGTTTGAGACATCAGCCAAGGACCCCAAAGAGAGCCAGAACGTGGAGTCAATTTTCATGTGCCTGGCATGCCGATTAAAGGCCCAGAAATCCCTGCTGTACCGTGATGCCGACAGGCAGCAGGGGAAGGTGCAGAAACTGGAGTTCCCACAGGAAGCCAACAGTAAAACTTCCTGTCCCTGTTGAAACCAAATGGTGTAAATATAAGCTATCATTGGAGGGTTTTTTCCCCCTTCCCAACCCTCTTTTTTGGTTGTTTTTGTGCCTGCAATAAAGCCAACACCTGCTTGTTTCCACACAAGTTGATATGAAAATAAAATTTGTATAGATTATCACGTGCCTTCATGTCTTGCTTTCCTCCCAGAAGACACCCCTGATTGCAATGAGAAGAGGCAGCTGGTCCTCAGAGAGCACTAGACCCACGCCAACCTCCTACACCCCCACCAGCCTTCTCTGCCAGTTGGCATGTTTATAGGTTGTATCCCTTCTTTGGGATGAATTCATTCTCTCACTCAGAGTCATCAATAAACAGAAGCACCTGCAGCAGATGGGACACAGGCTGGGCGCATTTTACCTAATGGCTCTGTAGCTGGTAGGCTAGAGCTGGCTTCTGGGAGAGGTTTACTCACCACTATTACCTAAGATCTCTAGGTGCGCGCCTCGGATGTTGGGAGGAGCCAGCCCTCCCTACATTCCCCAAATTTCAAAACTAAAGAGTATAAGTTGCTTCAGAGGAATTACATCCCGCTTTCCTTTATCCATCAAGCCATTCTGGACACCAAAAGTGTTGGCTTCCCCACCCGCCACCCCCGCCCTTTCTCAGAAGGGGGACAGACAGGGTGAAAGTAACAAATATCCATCCTGTCCCAGATTTTTGCTGAGTGCTGTGGAAGAAACAAGGGAGCCATGGTGGCCTAATGGTAAGGAAGTGCACTGCCAACCCAAAAACATGTGATTAGAATCCACCAGCTGCTCTGTGGAGAAAGGTAGTCTTTCTCCTGTGTTACTTGGAGCCTCTGAAAACCTGCTGGAGGGTCAGCGGTGAGTTGCTTCTGACTTGAAGGCACATAAGAACAACAACATGGGAGAAACAAGGGAAGTACATGCCCTACCTAAACAAGTTCTCATTGTCTAGTTGTAGAAATGATGGAAACTACTTAAGAACAAAAAATAGAGGAGATCACTCAGGGCAAGGCTGTGCGATGGGAACAGAGAGACAGCCCTGTATTCAAAAGTATGGAAGGGTCACAGCAAAATTGCTCTTGTTTTGTGTATTGAGTAAAGTGTGACATTTGGGTCAGTAAGAGGAGGGAGGTGGGCAGAGACTTGGTGGTCGGGTGGAAGGATGAGCAGGAGTCTGGACCACTGACAGCCACGCAGCCACAATGAGGTGCACAGGTGGGTGTGCCAGCGTGTGCTGAGTGCCCTGGCCTCCCTTGCCTGGACAAAGAATTGAGCCGAGTGGGAGACAACAGGAAGGTAGGTGCTGCCACAACGGACCAGGGGACAGACAGCAATCTCAGTGGCTCTTAGGAGAGCTGCTGCTTTGGTGTTGCATGGTGCTAAGCTAAGGGACGTCTTGGTGGGAAAGAAGGCAAGGAGAAAGAGTGGTGGTGAAAGTAGAAGTAATTTATTAGAGAAAGGGAAAGTTTACATTATAAAAAATAAGAAGAGATCCGGCCAGACGGAACTACTCCGCGGCCAGACGGAACTACTCCGCCGCCAGATGGAACTATTCTGCCACCAGACGGGCCAGGAAGAGATCCGGGAAGAGCAACAGTCAGCCACCCACCGCGGAACTCCAGAGGAGCGAAGACTACCCGCCACCAGAGGAGCGAAGACTACCCGCCACTGTGTGACCCCCCCCCGCAGCCCACACCTGTGTGACCCCCAACACACAGGGTGCTACTGCATAAACCTCCAGCAGCACCCAAGCCCCGCCCCCACCTCTTGATGAGAGTGTCCAAGCCCTGTGCTCCTTAGGTCCTTTGTTTCCTCCCCTTTCCCCACCCCCTTGCAGCTCCACAACCACGCACCTCAGCCTCCACCACAGCCCTGTGACCTCAGGGCACCACCATGGATACAGCCATCACCCGGAGCTATCAGCCGAGCTGTTGTGGAATAACCTGGCAGGAGAAAGGCAGGTAGGATCTTGGCTGTGTTTACTGGGGCATTGCTGATTACCTGGGAGAGCACCTAAGGGCGTGCCCACTGGTGGGGAATTTGGCCAAGCTCTCTTGAGCTACACCAACTGCCCCAAACGAGCCAGCCAGCTGGCTTCTGTGAACTCTGCAGACCAGCCAGAGGTTAGTGGGTTGGTGGAAATTTGACCTTGACTTTTCAGATCCTGTCAGATCCAGGACACTGCTGGAGCAGGGGCTGTTGTGTGAGGGCACCTGCGTAAGTGCCACTAGGCAGGGAACACTGAGAAAACCACTGGGTAGGAAACGGACAGCAGGAATTTGAGCAAGGACCCCAGTCGTGAGCACACTGAGACAGCAGAGGTTTGAGCAAGGTCCCCCAAGTGTTTGACCTGCCCTTGCGATCACCCAACCCTTTGCCTGCCTCACCCCATTTGGCTCCACACCAGTGCCTACACATCTGGGCAATCAACTTGCCTTTAAACGGGAGCACCTTGACCTGTCTTAGCAACAAGAGATTGCCCTAGCAGGCGCTGAACTGACATTTTTCTGAAGTCAGAAAGTCAGAGACATGCACAAGTTCGGTAGCTGCCCATCTGGTCTCAAGAGCATTGTCTTCAGATCAAGAACACATACCAATATCTCGAAGAAAGCAAACTATCCCGCACAATACACAAGAGCAAAGCAAGGTGTCACTCACAAAGGGCGACACAGTAGCAGTGGATATCCTGAAGCCAGAAAGTCTCATGGAACTTTCTGACACAGAATTTCAAAGAGGAGCAACTGAATATATCCAATGGATGAAAGACAAACTTGATGAATTACAGGATACTAGAAACAAAGACCAGGAGGAGTTCAAAAAAACAATGCAAAACATTGCAGAGAAAACAAATGAGGCATTAGTGGCACTGGAGAAACAAGAATCCACCATTCAAAATATAAGGTCCAATGTTTCAGAGGCTGTCAACATGATGGAGGGACATATGAGCAGAGTTGATGAAATGGAACACAGAATGAGTGAAATTGAAGACAAAATTGTCACCACTGATCTGCTAGAGCAAAAAGCAGACTCAAAAAAGAAGGAAAAAGAAGAAAACCTAAGAATAATGTGGGACACCATCAAGAAAAATAACATGCGCATCATTGGAATCACAGAAAAGG